TAAAATTGGACTTTATTTAATTGTTGTGTTTGTTTCATTTTGTTTCCCCTGGATATAGAAATAAAAACTCGGTCAAAAAAAAAACATTCGTGTCAGTTGTCAAATATTTTTTTTTAACTCGTTTTGAGTGATTAAAAGTATTCCGAGTGGATTTATTACACATAATTGAAAACGAACGAACACATTAACTCGGAGTAATTTCTAAAACCAAATTTTCAAAAATCAACAATTTTTATATTTGAACCAGTTTCCGTAGGATTTTAATAGTTTAATATGTTTATTAAGACCAAGTACTCTATTGTTATACTAAGTGAATCGTCTAATTTTAAATTTAGCTAACGTCAAAAAAACTACTCATTTTCTCAAACTTTGAGAAAATTTTAAAATTAAACTACTTGTCGTAAGGCCGTAATATTTCAGTAAGTTCTATAAGACCATGATATATATCGCTAACAAGAGTTTCATAAAAATCAGCTTAATTTTTTTTTTAACAGTTAATTACAAAAAAACGGTTCGGTAGATTTTCACCAACAAACTAATCAGTATCATTCCCAACTAATGTCTCTCGAACAGTTTTTGATTTTTTAAAATCGATTCGGTAGTATGAGCTTAAAAGTGGACGAAAAGTTTAACACTTTTTTTTCAAATTACAAAGAAACTGCTTGGCAGATCGTCGCACAAAACTGACAAACGATAGTCCTCATCGAGATACATCTAATGGCTTTTAAATTTCTGAAATCGGTTCAGGCGTTTTTAAGAAAACGTCGATGTAAGCTCTAATTTTGACAAATGCCAAAAAACGATACTAATTTTTGCAAACATCGACGAATTTTTAAAGTTAAACCAATTGTCGTAATATTTTAGTATGATCTAGAAGACTATGATATCTACCGCGAAAGAAATAACTAGCTGTAAGTGGAATTCTGTCTTAAGGCAATTAAGGCATCGTGCCTTAAGGCAAATTGCTGGAACTTCCCGTACCAAAAATTATTATTTTTCTTAAAAACGACTAACATTTTTGAAAAAAATTTACTTCGAAAAAATAAGATTTTTGACAAACAATTGGACAAAAAATTACTTTTTTTTGAAAAAAAAAAAAAATTTTAATTTTTTTTTTTTGAAAAAAATGTTTTCTTTATTTTGACATATTTTGAAAGATCTAAACTTTTTTTCCAAGCAATCGTACTGCTTTAACTGCTTAAAGACGAAATATCAAACCGCGTAGGCGCCGCGTCGACATTGGTACGGAACCCATAGGAATGTAAACCAAAATTATACTTATTGTTAAAATCTCTATAAAATATCTGATAATTTGATGTGCATATGTCTAATGATCATTTTTGACCGCCAAATGGCATTTTTTTTACTTTTTTCATTAGATCTCCGAAACCGCTAGACCTGCCTTTATGAAAATTTAATCGGTTCTTCACCTTGTCAATACAAGTAAAATGTTTTATTAAAATCGGACGCTCCGTTCTCTTAAAAACTGAGTTACCGTTTTCGGCACTTTTTGCCCCGTATCTTCGGAACGGCTAGACCTTTTTTCGCCAAAAACTAATCAGCACGTCTCCTTATCAATACGAATCGAATGTTTTTTGAATTATTCAAATCGGTTGATCGGTGTTCCTGAAATCGTCGACGAAAATTTGTATCCGCACATACATACACACACGCGCACACACACACACACATACATACATACATTTTTGTAAGGTATGCCAAAATATTCAGAAACCTTTAAAACGTCGAGAAATGCAAAAATTTTCATTTTCGATTTTTTTGCGATTACTATAACTTGCCCTATGGGAAGTTAATAATAACAATCGTCAAAAAAAAAAATTAACACTTTATTACAAGAAAACGGCCCGACCGATCTTTACCAAAAACTAATCAGCACGATTCCCAATCAATATATTTCGAACGGTTTTTGAATTTTTATAATCGATTCAGAATTGCGAGCTAAAACGTGGACGAAAATTTTGTCACTTTTCTGCTATTTATAAAGAAACGTTTCGGTCGATCATCGAACGAAACTGACAAACGATAGTTCTCATCAACATACCACGAATAGCTTTTAAATTTTTAGAATCGGCCCAGCCGTTTTCAAGAAAACATCGATTTACAGCAAAAATTCTGTTCACATACACACACACATACTTTTTGCAAACTTGGTCTCATTCGATGCAGAATGGCTTGAAAGGTCGAGAAAACTAAATTAGCGAATCGGATTTTTTTATGTTCGATAATAAAAATTAGTCTACTTTTTTTTACTTTAAATAGGTTCACATGGCTCACATTTTTGTTTGCCAAACATATATTTTCATCAAATTGTGAAATGGGTTTCTTATAAAGCTACGGTTGATAAAATAATAATTTTTGTTGATAAAAAGTTATAAGAATGCAAGGAAGTTTTGCGCGTACGTGCTCAATTCAAGTTAAAATACTGGGACACTGAGTTGCCCTCAGAAATAAGTACAACTGATGGATATCACGGACGATGTTGCAGCAGGTATTTACTAAAAATGAATAAATTTCGTATTTTTTTTTATCAGAAATAGATGGCAACCCAAAGAAAATAGATATGGGTAATACTATTTCAGTAAATATAACTGCAAATACAAACTGTAAAATCAAATGATCAGTTAGGCTCTAGTATTACAGAACCAGATAAACAGATTAAAAACTATTGATGTAAATTCCAACGATCAGGAGAAAATATCAAGTGATCGAGTTCTAAGTTTGGATAATGAGATGTTATTAAAAGATGCTTCATGTTTAGATATTTAGAGACTCTTAGAAAATGATTATTTTAGTTGTTGTGTAATTAAAAATGTTTGTTTTTTGTAATGAAGATTGTAAGCAAAATAGTGCAACGCAAAAATTTATAAAAAGTAATAGAGCAGGTGGACAAACAGGCACAGAAAGAGTTGTTCCAGAAAATTAATTGTTTTAAATGTAAAAATAGTTTTTTTTATCATCATTCCTGTAGATTAAATTGTTTGAATGAGTATAATGAAGTTGTTTCAAATATTCCATGTTCTCTTTGGCATAAAAATTGTACTATTTAGAGGTATATTTTAATTAATAAAGTAGTATCATTAGTACAAAAGCAATATCAAACGAAAAATCGTAATACGTACAATAATAATTTGGAATAGGAGAATAAAATCATATTACTTTCCTACCAAATAATTATTTGGAAGAAAATACACAAAAAAATTTAACAGAAAGTATTGTATTTATACCAAAACAGAAAAGATCATTCAAAAACATTGCAATTTATTAAAAAATAGTTTTTGGAAAACTTGAAACGTAGTTATTGATAAAGTAGAGCAAAACAATAATTAAATCAAATTAAAATAATACGGAAAATACTATTTTGAAAATATGCGGAAAATACTGTTTTGATTGAGGATCAATACAAACAATTTTATTTTAAGCGAATGCGTTATTCCTGATCGATTTTTCAAAGTGTTTATTGGGGGTAAAGATTTTCGGCACAGAAATTGTACACAGATTATGATGTACATCGATTATAAACTTTGACAATGACTGTTGATACATTGTTTTTTGAATAAATTAACGCGTTGAAGTTTGTCAATGGCTGTTAATACGTTGTTTTTAAGTGATTATGTAAAATATTTAAAGTAAAATACTCTTGGTATGACAATAAGCAATCTAACAGACAGAGAAAATAATAAAAATATTATATATGAGTCTGTTTTTGCACAAACATGAAATTTCACTTTTGAATGTTTTTCAAATTTAAACATTAGGTTGTAATGATTTAATAATTCAATAATTCTGTTTAATATACCACAACTTTTTGCATTCCAGACGAACGTGATTATTTAGCAAGCTTTTGGTTTACTCATAAATAGTAGTGAGTTGAAATTTATACGATCTTCTATTATACTATTTTTTTCTCTCATTTGAACAGCTGACTTCGATTTTTTGTAATGATGATAGAGTCTGTCTATTGGCTGAAATTAATAACATAATAAATTAAATAAACTAGTGGGGTGGGTGGCATCGTGCCTTAAGGCAAATTGCTGGAACTTCCCGTACCGTAACGAAATGTTCGAGGAATACTGAATGATTTCAAATAGATCATTATAAATATTGTAACATTGTCTAATATTGAAATTTGAAATTATTTGTTTAAAGTTTATTAGAACTATAGTCAGAATTAAAAATAAAATCTGAATTATTTTCGATTTACAAAAAATTTAAAAAAAAAAAAAATGGAACAAAATTTTTTTTTTCAAAATCAATTATTTTGTTAAAACAAGCAGAAAGTTCTTTGAATCATTCAAATCGGACGCTTAGTTCTCTCAAAAACTGCCATTTTTTACATATTTAGCTCCGTATCTTCGAAATGGCTGGGCCTGCCTTTGCCAAAAATTAATAAACACTTCTCCCAATCATTACTAATTGAATGTTTTTTAGATCATTCAAATCGGATACTCCGTTCTCTCAAAAAGTCTATTTCTATTTTCTGCACTCTTTGCTCCGTATCCTCGAAACGGCTGGACCTGCCTTTGCCAAAAACTAATCAGCTCTTTTCCCTATCGATAGAAATCGAATGCTTTCTAAACCATTCAAATCGGTTGATCCGTTCGCCCGGAAACGTGACTGGAAATTTGTATCCATACATACATACACACACACATACACACACACACACATCCATTTTTTCTGAGGTATGCCAAAATGTTTAGAAACCTTCAAAACGTCGAGAAATGTAAAAATTTTCAATTCCGATTTTCGGCCCATTACAATAACTTACCCTACGGGAAGTTAATAAATAAAATTAAATGTGTGCAACGCTATGGTAATATTGCCATGCATTCTTCTAGAGTCAAAATTCTAATAATCCAGTTGCCAAAATTTAAATATTATATATACCGTATTATATATTATATTGAACAATAATAATTATTATTTACAAAATTAAAGCATGATAAAAGGAAGACATGCAACATTCTATTAGATGTTACCTTGTAACTGAATTACACATTTTGAGCACTTGATAATAAAACTATATCCACCAGCAAGCAAACTTCTTCTCCATTGAAACCGCATACAATGTTCATCTGTGAATTGGTAAAAAAAAACATATTTCAATTGATAGAATAAAGACCTAGATCTTAGATCCATCAAAGAAATTGAAGTTGATTTTCACAGGCAATACAAAGGTGTTGATTTAAATTAATGTGTTTTTTCAACAAAATCCAAAAAAAAATTAATTGCACTTCAGTGTAACCATCTTGTGATGCAAGTAATTTATAAAATTTTTAAATATACTAAAATACAATACATGTTTTCAAATATTCGGAGCAAAGAATATCGTTAATTCATCACCATGTTGATACAGTTACTAAATGCTGATCACAATAATTATCTTAAATATCTGAAATAAGGAGAAAATCGGCAGTCGATGTCAATAAAATACGAACACTAATCGAAAGAAGCCCCTGAATTACAAAACCTGTTTGAAAAAACATGATGATATCTGAGCTTTTATTAACTGGACAATAACTATTAGATGGTTTAGATATTGTATTGTAAGTTTTTAAAATTAATTAAGATATTTTAAATGTTATATTGTCGACCACCTAATAATGACAAAAAAAAATATTTACCACTAACGCATATTATAATATAAATGATGGTGAAGATAAAAATTGATTAATTTTTACAGAAAAGACAGACAATGAAATTGATAACGACTTGCACAATATTATGTAGAAAAATATGAATACGTCTTATGATATAAATTGATTGCTCCTTGAACCATTTGAATCGGTTGTTTTATACGCCCAAAATCGTCGACAAAATATTGTATCCACATATACACACATAAACATCATAAGGTATTCCAAAATTTTTAGAAACTTGTGTAAAATTTGCAAAAAATTTGAATTTTAAATTTGGACGATTACAATAGCTAACCCTAAGAGATATTATAAAGAATGAAATGCATATTTTTGCATTAGATTAATATTGTCTGCATTCTTTGTATATATATAATAGATAATATTGTCTATCATTAGGTTTGTGTTCGTATTTCAGACCAATCTTCGATAATAAAGAGAAACACTTTTATAGAGTGAATTACAAGCGATAAGAGCAGAAGACTTTAATCGCTTAAGACGTCGCGCCTAATTAATTCCGACACGCATCTTAACGTATTGTGGCGGAAGCAAATAAGCGATTCATAGATAACCCAAGCTCTAACTTAATCCTTTTCAGTCGAAGAAAATCTTCTCAAGGCTGTTATGAATACTTTTTGTATGGTGGTATCATAGCAATAGGAACTAGTGGAGCGCATGGCATCGTGTTTTAAGGCAAATTGCTGGAACTTCCCGTACCAAAAAATATTTTTTTTTAAAAAGATTAACATTTTTGAAAAAAAATTACTCTGAAAAAATTTGACTTTTGAGAAACTATAAATTTTTGACGAAAATTTACTTTTTTCGAAAAAAAGACTTTTTGAAGAAAAAATTATTTTGAAATATTTTGAAAATTCAGAATATTTTTTCAAAGCAATCGTACTGTTTTAACTGCATAGAAACGAAACATCAGAACGTGTAAACCGCGCGCCGCCGTCTAACGGATAAGCATTGGTACGGAACCCATAGGAATGTAAACAAAATTTATACTTATTGTTAAAATCTCTGTAAAATATCTGATAATTTGATGTGCATATGTCTAATGATAATTTTTGACCGCCAAATGGCTTTTTTTTACTTTTTTCACTAGATCTCCGAAACCGCTAGACCTACCTTCATGAAATTTTGTTCAGTTCTTCATCTTGTTAATACAACTCATACAGGAGACCGCCAGACTTGACAAAGGGGCCAAGCTTAGGCCAGTAATGGAAAACTTAGCTTTGGCATACCAGTATTGGGCCAGGCGTGGGCCGGGCTACTTAACCCAGACTCGGCCATGCCAACAATTACCCAGACTTGGGCCAAGACTGGGTAACCCAGCCTTGGCCATGCCAATGATTACCCAGACTTGGACCAAGATTGTCGTGCGTTCAGTTATTTACAGCATGATTCGAGTATTTTGGTTTAACGCTCAGTCGTCAGCCACACTTGGCTATTGTAAACGGATTATAGTATCGATGCTTAGTCTGTAACCTACGCTTATACATCGTGTGTTATTCAGTCGGTAACGTTAAGTCACATTTGTTTTTATTATTGATTGCCGTTTAAAGTAATCACGTCAGCTGATTACCTTAGAGTTCAAAGGTGGCGTGCGTTAAATAAAAAAACAAAAGTTTTAAATAAAGAAACTAATCTTATTATTAACAGGAAAGGTGTCAATAATCAAATGAGTGCTATCAGTTTTAAAAATGAGGTTAATGATCTTAGTGATACAGACTCGTGTAATCTACGAGAATTTAATAATAACTTGGATAACGTCTCCTTCTTTATTAAAGTTAATTGTTTAAATTTATTTAAACATGTAATCAATGGCGGCGCTAGACCACGCGTGGGCGTCGGCGAAATTCGTTTGCGAGGCCCCCCTTTTTTACCAGTTGCAAGTTGACTAGGGGTGCATGGCATCTTGCCTTACGGCAAATTGCTGAAACTTTTTGTGCCATAATTTAAATTTTGAAAAAGCTTTACAAAAATTTGAAAAGTGAGAGAAATTGACTTTTTTTAATTTGAAATATTTTGTTGAAAATTTCGAAATGCTTTTTTCAAAGCAATCACGTTGCGTTAGCTGCTTAGAGATGAAATATCAAAGCGCGTTAACGCCGCGTTGCAGTCTAACGGTTATACATTGGTACGAAACGCATAGTAATGTAAACAAAATTTGTACTTATTAAAATATTTATAAAATATCTGATAATTTGATGTGCATATGTCTATTGATCATTTTTGTTCGCCAAATGGCATTTTTTCTACTTTTTCTATTGGATCTCCAAAACCGCTAGACCTGTTTTCCTAAAAATGTAATCATTTTGGCATTTTTTGCCCTTTTCTTTGGAACGTCTTGTCCTGCCAATAATCAGCACGTCTTCTTACCTTCAATACAAATCGAATATTTTCTGAATTTTTAAAATTCACAAAATCGTCGACGAAAATTTGCCAAAATGTTCAGAAATCTTTGAAATGTTTTTCATTTTCGATTTTTTTGCGATTACTATAACTGTAAATGAGATTGATTTTTAATCAGATAAATACACCAATTGAAATAAACAAAAATTATACAAGTTAAAATATACAAACTCTTCGGAAAAATGGTTTGTTCTCCAGCTATTAGAATAACACTGAAATTAAATAATTATTCCGAAGAAGTTTGTTTTTTCCAAATCACTTGATCAGCAAACATTTTGTTTTTTCGATCATTCAAGTAATTCTGAAGGAAAAATTAAAATTTAATGAAAATGTGTTAAATAAATCGTAGTTCCATAAAATGTATGTTAGATGAGACTATAATTTTTATCTCTATACGAAGTTTTTTTAAATAAAGAATTTTACAATAAATTACGGTACGGCCGATTAAATTACGGAAGAAACGGTACGGCCGATCTTTACGAAAAACTATTCAACACGATCGCCAACTGAAAACTTTCGAAACTTTTTGTTTTTAATTTTCAAAATTAGTTCAGAAATGTCTAAATGTCGTTTTTTTTTTAAAAAAATCTTTTGAAAGTTTTTTGTCGACGATATCGGAGCGGAACAACCAATTTAAATGATTTAAAAAACGTTTGATTCGTTTTTACTTTACCCACATATATAGCTTTTATAAAGATTATAAAAAAAATGGTTGAATCTAACTTAATACCTAAAAATTATATCGATGTATCGTGATTTAATCAATAGTGCTCTCACAACCAAAAAACAAAAAACACTTTTGTTATATATTTTCAAACATTGATGTTTATCTCCCGATTGCAACGTCGTAAGAATCAAGGTGAGCTGGTTATACATTATTTTTCCCTCTACTTTCAAATATAGTTATTAAAAATTCCTAACGTTACTTGTGCTGATATATTGGTGATGGAGGTGGACCTTTTTACCTGGGGATCTTCAAGTCCTACTGTATCATATGCTTGTATAACGATTTTCAGTTGCGTTAAATAAATTTTCACAACAATAGTAATAATAAAATTCGTTAAGGCATCTATGCGTTAAGGATATAAATATTGTTAGTCAAACAAAACTCGTTATAGATAACAAAAAACATCGTATACGAACAAACAGATTATATCTTTCACAATCTGAACATCATAATGCCACACACATGACAATGGATCGAGATACATATTCATTCGGCTTGCGTTCCGCACTTGTCAGAGCGGGTGTGACATCTACTTTGAATTCTAAAAATAAAATATAAATACATTGCAATAATCAATATGAGAAATGTATGAAATCTGGTTAGCGCCGTTGAAAGCAGATTCAACAGAGACAAAACTAATTTTTAACGTAAGAAAAAGGTGTAATATGGTTTTCTCGTGTCATTTCTGCGAATTTTATTATGAGATGTGTGCGAATGTAGCACGTGTGTTTGTATGTTTACGATCGCATATATATTTGTACCCAACGCATATATTTATTTATACCAGTAAATATACCTACTGTTGTATTTTTTAATCTTATTCACTCACGTCTAATAAAAATGCATATCATTCACACACGTTAACTTTGTTCAAACATATTTAAATATTATTTTTATCTTCCCGAAGTAGATGTTTATGCTTTCATAAAAAAATCTAAATCTTCATTTTTATGTTTAAAGCCATTCTGAATCGAATGAGACCAAATTTGAAGAAAGTATATATGCATATTTTGTCGACGCTTTCCCAAAAACCGCTTCATCAAATTCAAATAAAAAATTAAAAACTATTCGATGTGACTCTATATTTGTCGCATTGTTGCATTTGTCAGTTTTGCACGACAATCAGCTAGGCCGTTTCAGTATCAATAGCAGCAAAGTAAATAAAACTAGCTGTAAGTGCCTTTTTAAGGCCTAATTAAGGCATCGTGCCTTAAGGCAAATTGCTGGAACTTTCCGTACCAAAAATTATTATTTTTTTAAAAACGATTAACATTTTTGAAAAAAAAATTACTTC